ATGCCTGTCACTCGGCATAAACGTTGGTTTATTTTTTACACATTAGCTATTTCTTATTTACTCTGTTGTGTTTATTTGATCAGTTTACATAATACGTCGATACAAATATTGGGTAAAAATGTATTTTTTTTTCTGGTAATAATATTATAAATTCATTATTTATTTAAATAACCCAAACATTATTATTATTATTATTATTTTTATTCTATATTGTTTACGCTTTGAAATGTGTAAATAAATATACAATTATATTTTTCTTTCTACGTGAATCCTATGAATGTTATAATATTAAAGCAGCATTGTCCGCCACAATGGCAACACGGCACCGCGAAATTATAATAATTACGTTTTGTGATCGTACAACATCTATCGGTATAGAACGTTCCCAATAACCTTCAACGGGGTCTATAAAAACATAAAACACTCTATCCGAACATTACATACCCACCTGTATGAGTATCATAATATAAACATTACAGCCGCGCGAATTGTTTGTGTAAATATATTTTAATATTATAGGCTATCGAGTATTCTATTTTTGTCACGGTTTACTCGAACATGCGATAATTACGAAGGAATTTTCATGACATAATTACATCGGAATAATAATTGCGTCGAAGTTTTCAAGTGGAATCGAACAGATAAAAATAATAATAATAAATGTTTCGGAAAACGTTTGGTACGAATAGAAAATCTCGCGGAAGTCTATGTTCGTAAAACCCGTGCCCTATATATTATATTATTGATAATGTTAGATCATTCATAACTCGTATGAGTACCTACGTGTATTACTTTTTAAATATTATATAATAAAAGTTCTCTACCTTCTTACCTAGCTATTAGATTTGTTTTCTCGTCGTTTGACACTACCAATGCGTTATCAATTACCACTACCGTTTATCGTGTGAATGGGTTGATATCATATTTATATACCCCATAGACAATATGTGAATAGATGTCCATTATGTCTATCATCTACATTTTACTCGTAATGTGATTGGATTTTAAGAAGCTGAAGTTATCATGTCACCGCAACCATATTATAGTGCTGTTCGATGGTTCATCTCAGTTAGCCGCCGTTACGATCACAGTGCCTCACATGCATTTATTTTATCCATATTTACTTAAAAACAAGAATTATAGGTATGTCTGTACACCATTGATGTAGCACAACATGCATATAATTACTAAGATCCAACCCAAATGGAACAAAGAAAACAAAATCGAATGTAGGTAGGTCGTGGTAATGTGCGTAACTACTCGTATATTCAATATTTTGACGTCGCGGGTGTACCTATTCGTAGCGGCGGCGATGACCGACATAAAAATCGTTACAATAACGCGGTATTACGATACGATTAAATCGTTTCGCACTCAATATATAAATGGCCCGGATTCGCGGTGTTTTACCGTGACAGGAATTTTTTTTTTTCTAAACGCATTCACCGTCACTGTGTCAAATACCGACCGACGGTGGCGTGTATATAATATTATGTGTAATATATTTTTTATTATGTTATAAGTGTTATAACTTATAAATATTATATATTGTGTATTTGGAGCACCGTCTCGGCGGATTTCACCCCCGGGGGTAATGACCCGTAATAAACTATATTATTATTGTCATTATTTTTACAGGCATATTATTTATATATATATATATATATATATATATATATACATATATACATATTGCACGCGTATACGCTTTCCTAAATAATACACTGCAAGTACACGCGCAATGGGCTTATACATAAACAATAAACGTAAAACGATACATGATGTGTGACAGTAAAAATTATGAATAATTACACTATAGTAGTGGCCAGAAAACAGCGATCGAAAAGTAACACGCGAATATGGTGATAATGACCTACTGAAATAGTTATAGGCACTAGATAGTATAGGTATATTAATATACCCAAACATGAACGTTAGATAATAGATATAGTCGGATAAGAATCGACTAAACCAAAAATATCGATATTACATTTAGATTACGACCACAACCATGGTCGTGGAGGTAAAATATATCACGATGTATGACTATTATATGAGTTATACATACAGGTGGCGTGTGTTTTAATATTATAACAATAATAATAAGCTACACATTTTTTCCATCCACGTTTTAAATCGTCTATTTTAAATATTATGTATATACGTGATGTATACTGTATATTATATAAATATATACCATTGACATAATATTATGATCAATATTTTTGTTTCATGACTATTGGGAAGTTAAAAAAAATCTAAAATATCGTGTTATTTACTATTATAATGCTAATTTCAGTTGAGTATGTATTATGCGTTTTTATTTTATGCTGTTGACAAAAGCATCATGCAACTGAATAATTACTAATACGTGTTTGGCTAAAAAAAAATTGTCATCGTCCCGAGAGGACGCCAACATACTAGGTAATCATTTCGGTAAAGTACACAATACATTGGCCTTCCGACAATAAACCGTTTCTTTTTTAACTCTTTTTTAACTTTTTTTTAACTAATATCGATATATTTAAAAATAAAAACTATGCAGTAAAATAAGAGTCAGTAAAATAAAATACACACCCGTAAGATGAAGAATCAGAATATTTTATATTTTTTAAATGTGATATCATTGAAATCCGAAATTAAGGCGGTATAATGGTTAGTAGTGGTGGGTAGTGACTATTATAAATGATACCTACTGCTTATGGATTTCTTTGAGCAGAAAATATATGTCTATTGCACTCAGTCGTTCATTATAAATATGATATTTTTCACTAATTTTTAAAAGTAATTCATTTTTAACTATTCCTGCCGTTTAGCTCGAAAAAGATAAGTATTATAGAATTTGATAAAATTATAATACAATTATGAGCAATTATCGAAAAACACTCCAATTAGCTAATGTTGTATAACGACAGCAAACAACGGAACAACGAATACAGACATTCTGCAAATAATTCACTAGACTGATTATAAAAGCAATTAACGTTTTTGTTTTTATCATTTTTTGAGACATAGACTTAATGTTTTATTAATGAAATCATTTCAAATGTGTTTTTACAGCGTGTGAACTATAATATTACAACAATATTATATTTTTCTCATAGGCTAGTCTCATATTTTATTAACATACAACTTAATTTATACCTATAGATAAACCTAGTTGACGGGAATAATTTTAAATCCGTACCAAAAAATATATTTTGCAACAACATAACGCAAACAAAATTCAGAAACAAAGAACGTTTTTGTGTTGTAACAAATTTGAAGAATCCTATAAGCGCACATGATTAAAATCATGTTGATATAATATATACACTATAGATAATGTGTGTAATGGCAAACATGTAATTATTTTTCATATTACACTATCTTCACTATCTCTGAGTATGTTCTTCAAATCAATTGACCGTATTAAAATTCTTATATATAATACTAGTAAATACATAGACCGTATTCTTTAAAAAATTATATTTTCAACGTTCATTATGAATGCATCATTTTTATGCATTTTTGTTAAATAAATAATTTAATATCGTAGTATAGAAATACCGAGAAACTAGAGGAAACAAATTAGCATGTAGGTACGCGCAATATTTGGAAAACGCTGCAGAAAGACAAAACTAATGGCCCACAAATTGTTAGACGCCTTGTAAAGTTTAACGGCGTGCATAATATATACTTCGATTCATTGCGAAAATCGTTTTGGTCCACACGTTCATTATAAACAAAGTACACTGATTACTCCTTGGCAGCAACCTTGAACTATAATTGCATTACGACAAAAAGTACGATGAACCCAAATACACTGCAGATTTTGACTGAACACATAATATATTAAATTTGTGGTGGACTGAGTCATAATATTTATTACAGGACTATCGTATCTGTTGCAAAAATGTTTTTTAAATTTTTCAAGTACCTACCTACTTTGGTATGTTATAATTATAATATGTAATTACCTTTCTATTTATAAAACATTTAAAGCGATAAAAAAAAAAAAAAACTAGTAAGTTTATAGAATGAAGTGGACATTGTCTTATTCGACAAGATTACGAAAAAAACTATGTAAATCCATTCGTACATTAAATACATACTTAAATTAGTTTATAGTTATATTATATCTATAAATAATAATTATCGCCAAGTAATTTACAATAACATAAAATAATGTTTAAAAATGTATTAAAAAAAAAAAAAATTATATAATTACTAAAATTCTATAAAGTAAAAATAACCTTTTTAAATATTATAAATATTATAAAATTTGTGATAAACACACACTGTCTTACAATTATTGTATCATATTTGAAATGGAAAAATGTTATTTGAGATCACTACAAGACGACCTATATCACATCTCTAATATTTTATTTTATAAAATCATTAATTTACTCGCAATTATAGGTGAACGAAATAATTTATTTAAATCATTATAATATAAAAATACAAAGTTTTTGAGCATCATCTCATATTATTTGAACTGAATTTTTTTTATTACGATTTTGATTTTATTACGATTATTTTAACTTACGCGCAATATCATATAATAATTAAACGTAACTACGCGAGTACGTGGGCCATATAATTAATCAACGAGATGTTCTCATTTTACACGTGTCATAAACATATATTATAATATAATAATATAAAATATATCGAAAAACACCGACCCAGCTAGATCACGAGCTGTTGCAACAACGACAAGATGCTAATACTAAGTTGACAATAAGTATTGGTTACTAACATCTCGCGTATTGTTTCGGGCGCCGGAGATTTGAATGCTGGGGCAGTGACGACCGAGAGAACAGGGCGCGGGCAAGTGGTATTGGCACGAAGCGAAGGCACCGATTGCGCGACTGGAAGAGGAATTGCGAACGAAAAAAATTTTTTAAAGGATTTTAGCACCGACAATAGAGTCGGTTAGAATACATATAATTTAAAAATATTTTTCGGTGCCACAGAAGAGCAAAAAAATGATAAAACATTTTTGTAATACTCACGATTGGATTGTGTGCGGCACGCGGGCTGTCTGCGGCGTTCAGAACGGTGCGATATCCATGTGTTGTAGCGCTCGAACGCCCGTAGAAAAAATAAAATCGCGAAAACGTTAAAAAATTATTTTTCCTCGACCCGCCAATGAAACGGCCGCTGTTCACCGGTTTACGTTTTAATGTAAAATATTATAAAATATTTGAGTTCGACGTCAATAATAATCGTCAATCGTCGCAGTCGTCGCGTGTCGGAGACGGACAAATTAATAATACCAAATATCGTTTGATCAAAATAATATTATTATCATCGACCAGTAGTGCGGCAAACTAACACGCTCGCGAGTGCGGTGAATGCGATCGCAGATGAATAAATACACTGACGGACGGCACCGCGCGAAACGGAATGAAAAAACAACGATTGCGAAAAAAATAAATAAATAAAAAAATCAAATAACAGCGGTTCGCGTCGTGTCGCGACAGTACTTGCTGGACGGACGCGACGGAAGCGACTGCCGCCGGTTGCCGCGTCGCTGCCGCTGCGATTATATTATTACTATTACTATTACTATTACTACCATATCACTATAATATTATTATTATTATTACTACTATTACTATTACTATTACTATAATATATTATTATCGCTGTTGTAGTATGACGCCGCCTCCGCTCGTGTACGCGATGCACGGTGGTCGGCACGTCGGTGGGGAGACCCGCGAGCCCTCCCGCCAAACGGCTTCGCGCGGCCCCCACCGCAGCGAACCGCACGACTGAGACGACGGTGGTGGCGGTGGCGGCGGCGGCTGGTCGACGCGTGTCCGCGGCAGTACCCGCGCGGCTCGGCCCGTCGCCCGTCCGCGCGCTAATGATTGCTTTTAATTCGTTTGTAATCGTATTGTAATAATAATAATAATAATAATATAATATATAATTATTTGTGTATTATTATTGCGATAATATGATTGTGTACCCGTAGATTGTTCGATTTTGAGCGCCCGACACCGTGACGGATGTCTAGTACATATTTCTGACGGTCAATAATATATATAACGCGGGGAGGCGCCGTCGGGGTCTCGAATAATATTTATTTTGTCGATTAAATCGAATAAGTCTCCCAAATACGTGTAGTTACTCTAGAAAAAGCCAGCTAATTATAGTCTATTATTCCCAATACTCGAAGTTTCAAATTGACTGATATCGGTCGGACGAGATTCGAAATTCGTCAAAATACACCGACGAAACTTCTCCAAGTCTAGGGAATGAAATGTCGAGAGTAACGTCTATTATGTAGTATCTTTATGGGGACAATTCTCATTATCAGTATCAATTTTTTGTTTTTTAATTTTTATCATCAATTAAAGGATTATTAACTTAGAAATTAAATTGTTTATATTAGCTTAAATTAATATTTCATTTTTAAAATATTAACAAAATCATCTGGTTGTTTTATATGTATAATATATTTCTGATACCTATGTGGCTATGTGGATTTTCATTTCTAGAATCTTTAAACTTCAGACAGTAGACGACATGTTATTTATATCGATGTATTATGTTGTTATTCGATAAGTAGGGCGTTTCTACGTCAGTACGTCACCCTATTTACTTATAAATATATAATATGTGAACGAGGTCATTACCTGTGGTTCATAACTGAATAACAGGCACAGCTTTTTGGGCTGTTGACTGTTGTATAAAAGGAGTGAACTATGGAGAGGTATAAAAAAAATATTAATACTTTTTATTTTATTAAAATATTTGGCATAATATAGCTAATATGCAAAATTAGATAAATTGTATGGTAATGATAGGAAGATGGGAACTTCTCATAACATTCGATACTTTATATTAGGTTATTTTATAAATAACTAATAATTATATTGTATGTTATATTACGCGGAGCATGACTTGAATAGTTTTCGCTCTTGGAATATTATAAAATTTGTATTTTTATACATAGGAAAAGTCTAATATAAAGACATTGCTCTCGCATTTGGTCTATTTTATACACACTACTATACAGTTTATATCCTGCGGGCTGCAGCTAATTTATACGTATAGATAATAACCGTAATGTAGTCCAGGCGCGTTAAAGATGCTAGTGAGCTAGATTCTATTAAGCTTAAAATTAATTACAATACAGCTATGTTGAATAATAATTCATAGTAAACAGTTACCAACACGTACTATCATAATATAAATATAACCTGCAATGGTATAGCATATTTCCTACACGTACTGACGTGTATAATGTACCTAAATTGTATAATATATTATGATATATAATGATGTTTAAGTTATTTCTCCTAATAATATACTATAGTTACGGCTACTATAATTTTATATTTTATTTTGACCTTAACTACATTATAGTTATTACTTATTTAAACTGTTAACTATGTATTATATTTTAATGATTTTATCAAAATATTAAACTCGAATAGGAAGTTAAAAAAATGTTTTTTATCATATGTATTTTTGTACATTAACTTAGCAATACGATAAATAATACGTACTTAAGCCACTCAAGGCTCAAAAACATTAAGTCTAAAAGTTAAAAATTAATGTATACTGTTTAGCAACTTACTATATGAGTTATTTTTTTTAAACTATATCACCTATACCAACTCGACTGATTATTATAAATTTTATGGCAGTCTAACTTCACGCTTCACGCCAACCAAACATCCAAAAATAATATTTTATATTTTACCATTTACCATTATAATAATAATACGAGTCCAATTGGGTTTACATAATAATATATAGAATGTAACGGTGTTACCATACATACAACTAGGTGTGTAGTAGTTGCTCCGAGTTTATATAATTAACTTTTGATAATTTTTTTTTTTAATTGAACCTATCACTAAAAATATATTGTGATACTTACCATACACAAGATGACTTACCGTTCATAACTTTTTCATTAATATTATTTTTTTTATAAATCTTTGCTTCTCTTATAATTTTTATGATTTTTTTAAAATTTTTTAGCTATTTATATACGTTATTGTTATTTGTTTTATTTATTATAGATTTGAGCTAATTTATGTATATAATTATATTTGAAAAATCGAATCGTTAATTTCCGTAAAATATTCATGATATAATGTTTTGAATGTGTTAAATGTTTTGTTCATTTTCTAGGAAATACATATATTCATATATTTAATGATTACACCATGGTGTGAATATTTAAACAAGAAGTAGATTTAGTGGAGGTTGGCGCGTTTAAATGCTTCCTATATATATAACGGTTCGAAATTTATAGCAAAAAACTAAAAAAAAAACATTGAAAATTTCTCATGCCCATAAATAAAAAACTCAAAATCAATAAAAAAAAATTTGAAAATTTGATCGTATAATAAAAATAATAACCTAAAAATTTAACAAACATTTCAAGTATATATTATTATTATTAAGTATCAACAACTGTTTAAGAAGAAATAATTATTTTAAAGGAGAATATCAAACGTCATAAATATTTTAATTTGAAATTTTCATAAAAAACTATTTTGGCTTTACGATATTTTTCTTAACAGGTTGAAAAATTAATAAAAAAAACCTTGTGTTAAACGTTTAAATTGTAAGTATTAAAATAAAAAATTTTATGAATTTTTAACTAAAAATAATTGAGCATAGCCCGTTTCCGCAAAATCAAAAAAGGTATGATTTCCGTTTTCGCTAAAATTTATATTTGTGAAAAAAAGTTTCCACTAATTATTATTTGAAAACCATGTACAAATATACCTTTCGTTTCAAGTATTACATTATTTTTTTCAAAATATTGGCTGTACAATTTTTTCATGCAAAATCTCCAAGTTATATTTGTTTTTGACGTATAACCAAAAAAAATATTTCAAACCATATATCAAACATCAACATTTTTTTAACCTTTATTGCTTACAAGAAATTCCGTTTTAGGAACGTTATCAATTGTTTGATAAAAAGAAATAAAGAATAGATACTGAATCAAAATACAAGAATTTAACATTTATCAGATAATTATTGTGTGCGAATTATAAACAAACTATGATACAGTTTATGCTTCCTTCCATTATTAACAAATGTCGATTATCAAAAATTATCGAACATTATTGCTGTATATATTGTTGTGCCAGTGATCTTCGCAATTATTTACAAATGTCATTGCTATTACCTACATGTCCTACATGTTACATTATTATATTTTATACTTACCACAAAATGCATTGCTTAAAAATTAAAACCATTGGTTTCCAAAGTTTTTTTGGTGGAAACGTGTAACTCCCAATTAATTAAATAATATTATTGTTATCGTGGTAAAATCAATACATTCATTTTCCGCTCAGAATTTAAATTAAATTTTAAAATATACTAGTTTTAAGCTAAAAATTTAAATGTGATAACAGTGCACAGTTAATCATACGCAATCGTTTGACTTTGAGGTACATTTTAAAATTAATAAAATTATTTTGTTTAACGAAAAGCGTAGGTACGCAATCATGTGGTACCCGTATTATACATAGACAATAGACATCACCATCATAATAAAATGCATGTAGGTGTACTGTGTACGTTTTATTCCGCATATGAGCGCGTAAATCGTAAAAATATTCTCATAAAAAAACAATATTACCTATCTATTATATTATGTTATGATGTGTTATAGGTTTTAAATTTTAATTCCTTGTGCAAAATAATTTTAATTGATGAGCACAATAATACAATTTCCAAAACTAGTTAAAATATGTAATACATATGACGTGCATTTACGCATATTATAGGATAAATTATAGGTATTATTTGACTGCAATGTATATCTAGTGCATTGATTATCATTTTTATTTTTTATTTTATTTTATTGGGTATCGTTGTTTTATACAATGCGTAGGTAATATCTTATGATTCTTATGTCGTATTTGTTGTCCTTTTCTCAATGTGTATATAATTTTATTATAATAATAATAGTACCTATATCTACCTATTGTCATTATTATGACATTATAGTTTATTAAATTTATTTTAATAATATGTATCTTGTATTTGTTACACGCAAAGACAGTTTAACGATCATTTTAAATATTTAAATAGGTACGTCCCAATGTTCGGTTTTTGTCCGATGAGGACAATACTTACGCGATGATATTGCAGCAGCTATGGTAGTCGTATCGCGAACGTGCGCCACCTCGGAAAATCTAAATCATTCTTAAAATAACAATAATCATTATTTTTATTACCATTATTGTTGTTATTGTTTTAGTGTTTAAATTTTTTTTCGTATATTTATACAACACATATTTTTATACTACTACTACTACTACAACACAGTAGTATAACTATACTATTATAAATTATTAAACTACTATATATGCGTGGAGATAAAAAACTTCCAAGCAACTCTATATATAGCTGTTAATGTGTATTAATATTACAAATAAAACATCGTATTGCTTAATGTACCTACCCGATATAATACCGTAACTACTAACTAATAACTACCTACAACATAATTCTATTTGTGTATTCGGTATATTATC